AGACATTAGACACATAATTTATTATTACATTAATTATATCACATATTATGTATAATGGCGCATTGATGGTACATTTCGTTTTATCACAACATGACATCCGTCCCATCCGTCGTATGGTATATAGTTATTACATGATGTTATGATTATTATTATATGAGGCACACATGCGGCGGCTCATTCTGTATTTCTTATTTCTGTTTACGTCCAGACAAGATTATATTATATTGTTATAAAAACAAATGAAATTTATTCCAAACCAATAACAGCGCCCGCAAGCACCTACCTATATCTGATGCACCTTAATACCTATACATTATACAGCGTTGACCGGAATGCCAATAGAGACTCACGCATTCCTGATGTAGTGGCTGCTTGCAGTGCTGCCTTGCCCCGTTTCATTTTTGATACAATTCCAAAAAAGGCGAATTTCATACACTACCCTCTTACAGCGTGATTGTTATTTTCAGTACACACTATCTCACTCACTCACTCGCTCTCTCTCTCTCACACACACACTCTCTCTTGCCACTACGCATTCCGAAAGACATCGGCGGTCGGTGACTAAATCTGTTTAATACTATATATCGTCGCGCGTAAATAATTATATTTATATAGTTTATCCCACGCAGCACACCGACGACAGGCGAACACCGTTTGTGTTCTTGACTTACGACCAGCTGGCTCGCCGCAGCGGTGGTGGGCACGTTGTCGATATACACACACACACACACACACACATAGTTGTTTTATATTATTATTCACACACATTATTATTATTTATATAAATGATAACATTATACCGCGTTATGTGCGACTCACACTATACCTGATCAATATAATTTGGTATGCCTAGGTTACCTTTATAGGTTGGCCACCGATAGTCGTCCACATTGCAATTTTCGTCCGGCAACATTTCGGTATCGTTCAGAGTAGTTTTTCAATGCGTCGAATAATCGGATCACAGCAGTCATCTATCGCGAGTTTTTCAAATTTTGTATTCGCCGGTGTTGCGTGGATAAAATTGTGCGCGTCGAAGACAAAAGCGTTTTCTCGATATTGACTATACGCAAATTCATAGAACAATCGCAGTATTATATTATAATATAATATAATAGGTATTAAAATATTTTGCCTTTAAATGTGTCGGTCGAAGCAGCCACACTATTTAAATGATATTACACATAGGATACCTAATGATAATAACTGTGCACAATTTTTTTAATGGTACAACATATTTTTTTTTTCGCAGG